CCATCCAGAAGGCAAGCTTATTGTTATTACCATACAACTAGGCTGTTAAGCTTAACCTCACTATCTGTCTGAATACCAAACATCTTAGGCATAACATGGAACAGGTATTTTTCATCAAGTATTGATATGTTGAACTTTAAGTCTCTACAGAATATGATGAAAAAACATTTAAAAATTAGAATATATTTTAAAAAATAGACATAAAGAATTATATACTTCTTATGCTTACACATAATTCCAAAAATGTAACCATATACAACCATGAAGCAGGACAGTCCCACAATATACCTTTTCCTATCTCTTGCCTTCATTCACCACCCCCTTCTTTTTGAAGAATCATCTACCTGAGAGACAGCACAGCAGCAACTGGCATGTCATGACAAGTAGCCCATATTCAGAAGACCAGAATGATAGGCACTCCAAACATGAAACTACTATTACAGATTACCATCTTCAGTGCAGTTGCTTAGTTCACAAGTATCAGTATATATAGTTAGTCAGGGTGAGAATCTTTCCAATTAACTGCTAGGTTAAAAATCTTCTGGAGATTCTCAGGATCATTGCCTTGCCCATCCTCTGCATATAACTGTATGGCTTGACATTGTCATGTTTCCTAGCTCTTCTCCTTTCCCTCTTTTGATTAGTTAGTTCTTGAGATCCTGCTTTCATTTTACTTGTATTATACCTTTCTATTTGTATTTCTTCTTTTGAGTTCTTATACTAGGGAAACTATATGATATTTAGACATGTTTCACTTATGAGTATATGTTCAAGTGGCATCCACTTCAATATAAAGGCTTCGAGTTTACCATTCTTTATAGCTGAGTAATACTCCATTGTGTGAAAATACCACATCTTTTGCAACCATTCCTCAGGTGATGGGCATCTTGGTTGTTTCCAAGATTTGGCTATCACAAATTGTGCTGCTATAAACATAGACACATATATCCCTAAGATATGACATTTTCAGATCCTGTGGGAAAATTCCCATGGGGAGGAATAGCTGGTTTAAATGGGATTTCCAGTCCAACTTTTCTAAGGAGTCTGTACACTGATTTCCATAACAGTTGCACCAGTCTACATTCCCACCAGCAGTGCAGAAGGGTTCCTTTTTCCCCACAGCCTCCCCAACTTTTGTTGTTGGTTGATTTCTTTATGATAGCCATTCTTTCTGGGCTGAGATGATATCTCAATGTTGTTTTAATTTGAATTTTGTGGATGCCTAGTGATGTGGAACATTCTTTCATATATTTATTTGCTTCTTTACTTTCATGTTCTGAGAAGTGTGTGCTCATCTCAAAACCTATTTCTGGATTGGGTCTTCAAATTTTGGGGCCCTAGTGTTTTTTAGTTGTTTATAAATTCTAGAGAGCAGACCTTTGTCTGAGTACTTATTTGTCATGATTTTTTGCAAATTTGTGGGTTGCCTTTTCACTTTGTTGGTAATTTCTTTTGCTATGAAAAAAATTCTCAGTAAGAGCATGTCCCAGTTGTTAATTCTTTCAACTGTTTCCTGTGCAATTTGATTTCTGTTCATGAATTCTTTGCCTACCCCAATGTCTTCAAGAGTTCCTCCCACTTTCTCTTCCAGGAGATTTAGTGTCTATGCTTTAATGTTTAGAT